GTCTTCCTCACTGCTGTGCTGTTATCCAGCACAGTGGGCTTCAACATGGAGCATGGGATAACTATTTATGGGGTGACTGTATAAATGCATCAAGAGCCTGAACTCTGAAGCTGGCTGATGGTGCATACCTGTAATCCCAGCAAGTTCAAAGCCAGCCTCAGCAACTTAGCGAGGCCCTAAGCAACTCAGTGAGATCCTGTCTCTAAATAAAATACAAAATAGGGCTGGGGAGGTGGCTCAGTGGTTGAGCACCCCTGGGTTCAATCCCCGGTAGCAAGAAAGAAAAGGAGCCAGAACCTCTTCAGCTCTGATAACAGGAAACAGGGGAGTAGCACCACAGTGGCCCACCTAGAGCAGAATAGGCCAGCGCCAATTCAGCCCCAAGAGAGTCAGAGCACCCCAACGCTGAGGCCACTAGAAGGAAACAAAGGAGAAAGAACTAAAACCTGCATGGGAAGGGACAGGCAGGTACACAGGAGAAAATGAAAAGCATCCACTACTTGCTAAATCAGCACTTGCTACACAAATTAATTCGGTACGAATTAACTCATTTAATCTTCTCTACTATTACTTACTATTACTATTTATTACTATTTCATTTCCAGATAGAAAGACTTAGAATCAGAGAAGTTAAGCTACTTGCCTAGAATCACACAGCTAGGTACTGGCAGCCATGTTCTAAATTGAGAGAGAATCTGATTCTGAACTGCAAGACCTCACACTACATTTACCAAAGTGCACCCCGCAGAATACACTACCTCCTCTGGGTAACCAGGAAGTGTATCATGTATCCACAAAAATGAAAACAGGTGGTTAAAGCAAAGTTAAAAAATGGTAAGTTAATTGATTTTTCCCTTCTTTTGTACTTATTTATTTAGATACTTTTTTTGGTACCAGGAATTGAACCCAAGGGTGCTTAACCACTGAGCCACATCTCCAGCCCTTTTGATTTTGAGACAGGATCTCTCTAAGTAGCTAAGAGCTTCACTAAGTTGCTGAAGCTGGTCTCAAAAACTTGCAATCCTCCTGCCTCAGCCTCGGGAATTGCTGGGATAACATTGCTGGAATCACCACACCTGGCTTCAGTGAACATTTTTACTGAAAACTTTTTTTTTTTCAGAGTTTTGAGATTSCTAATGACCATGAGGAATCTGCAAGAGATGACTGAGTACATGAGTGTTCCACACTAGGGACGGGGATGAGATCCCACTTTGAGAAGCAATGCCCTGGTCTGAGCTCCTGGGTTGGCCCGGGGCCACTGGAGGGAGCATGTGACTAACAGGGCAATGCAGCACAGGCTCTGGAAAACTCTGCAGCCACTCAGAACTCTGTACCTGGGCCCTCTTCCTGCAGAGTCCAGTCCTGGGCCTCCCCTGCTCCTGCCTGTGCAAGACAGGAAAGGCCTCTGCAATGGCCCAGGGCTCCCCCCAGCTGTGCCCACCTGCTGCTCTCAGCAGGGCGTCATTCTTGGTGGACCTCACAAAGAAAATTTCTCATCTGAGTTAATAATTCTTCCCTTCAATTTTCTGAACGGCTGTCCATCCCTTCTGCAAGGAGATTTGGCATTAAATCATTACAAAAAAAAAAGATAGACTCCCTTATCCTAATCTCAGAAAGAATTCGTCTTTGAAAGCCTGAAGTTGATGGCTATTATATTTCACGGACAGAGCATTAATGATTCGTTTCAAGATAACAAATTAAAGAAATTGGAGCCTCATTTTAGAGGCCRGGTAAGGCACTTTTCTTCTAACTGCTTTAGAGTCGATTACATGATGATAAGTGCAGGCTCCAGAAAACCCTGTTGTGCAAAGTTCAGTACATATCTTTAAGCAGAGAGCAATTACAGCYCAGCAACGACTTCTTGAGTATTTTAAGTCTTCTAACTATTCACATGAACATCTCAGATAATCAGAGGCCACAGGGGCATTTCAAAGGTCAAGCTAGAAAGCTGGGTTCCAAATTCTGACTACCTGTGACAGCCAGAGCCCAGGGTTCTATGACCATGGATGACGACTTGAAGAAGTTATGTATGCAAGAGTCCTACAGGAGTAACATCCATTAGCAAGTATTCTGAGGTTCCTAATCACAAGTATCACATCACCAAACAAAATCCTCCAAAATATTGCCTTCCTTATGTCACTCATCTGCTTAAGAACTTTCTATGGCTCCCTGTTGCTGAGAAAACAAAGTTTAAATTTGGTAGATTGGTATGGAATGACCTCCATCATCTGTCTCCCATCACTTTAAGACTGCAATGCACGAAAATGCCCCATGCTGGGTCCTCCCTCTCCACCCGCCTGCCCACCCCGCTGCAGGCCCACCTCTATCATGAAGCCTCTTCCACCCCCTTGTATCCCATATTTGTCCTCTGGAACTCTGAAAGTGCTTTTCAACAAGTTCTATTCCGACAAAGAATAAGATTCCCACCACAAACCCACTACATTTGAGTCTCTTTTCAGTTTAGGAGGGGAAAAGGACTTCTCTCTGCTGCTGACAACTTGCACTGGATCTCAGCAATTCTCCTATTTTCTGGAAGATGAAATGCTCTGCATCTTCCACGCCTGTGGTTTATATTTCWCCCAGTCGTGTCAGCCCTGATAGAGTGACCTCCCATTTTTATTGAGCAGCCCACAGTGTAATGGATGACATCTGCTGGGGCTGATATTTTAAGTGAAGGCTATTCTCAGCCCTCGGCCTGCTCTCCCCAGGGCTCTGTATAGAAATAGCCAACAGGGCTGGGGATGTGGCTCAAGCGGTAGCGCGCTCGCCTGGCATGCGTGCGGCCCGGGTTCAATCCTCAGCACCACATACAAACAAAGATGTTGTGTCCGCCGAGAACTAAAAAATAAATATNGATGTTGTGTCCGCCGAGAACTAAAAAATAAATATTAAAAAAATTATCTCTCTCTCTCTCCCTCTCTCTCTCTTAAAAAAAAAAACAAAAGAAATAGCCAACAGCGGCTACACCTCAGGTACGAAATGGGGCTACTCACGAAGGCCCTCTACCAACCCCATAAAGCCATGAGATTTTTCTGGAAGGATTCATTTGAGCAGACCCAGTTTTTAAGCCTGCAAGCTCAAAAAAGCCAGCAGGGGATGGACCATCACTTCTAGGAGAGAAAAATCCTTGTTTGCATCTTTTTCCTAAGCGAATTTAAATATCGGGTTGTTTTGGGTGCCTCAAGTTTCTGTGTGACCCCCTGTGCCCACAGAAGTAATCATTTATACTCCCAGTAATGAAATGATGCCCACCTTTCATGTACTCCCTTCTTCTATGTACATTAGAGAAAATAAAAATGTCTGTCCTGGTCAGGGTTCTATACTTGTTTGCAATCCGGGGATCTGACAGCTATTTGATCCTTGTAGGACAAGAACCTATTTCTGGTTCTTAACTTAAAAAAAAAAAAAAAAATCAGTTCACTGTAACCATCAGTCGAGTTGCCTTTGTGAGCAAAAGCCTGCTAGGGACATCTGTAGAAGGGCTCATTTATCAGACAGGGACAGGGAATTTGGAATTTGTGGCTCAGCATCTATGAATATTCTTCAAAAATCAAGGTTTATCCTTTTAAAGAAACTTCTCTAATTTTGATCATTTTTCATGGGAAATCCCTAAACTAAATTACTAATACCTTCATACACATCAGGGTGAATGATTGAGATGTTTCAGCCATGGTTAGATCTGGAAAGCAGTGAGGCCTGGCAGCCCAGGGCATGGAGAACCCAGACAGCCTAGAAAGCAAAGTCTTCCTGTACACCCACCTTCACACCCCTAGAGTCCCCACCTGCCGAGTCCCATGCTGCTTCTCCCACCCGTTAACATATCCCACCCACTGCAACTGACCTGCTCCTCTCTCCCTGCTCCTCCTTGCTGAGCTCCCCTGGGGTAGGCACCTCAGCTTCTTTGCTCTCTCCTCAGTATCTTGGTGACTTGTACAACCAGGGTGAGCTCAGTAAAGATCTGAGAGGGATGGGATGGTCGAATGCATGCACGAATGCACAAACTATTGCACTCCTTCAAGGCATCAGTCAAAAGCACATATGAAAATTTTAATACTAGTTCTGTTGGTAGGAAAGCCAGAGTCCAGAGTGAGTGGTCAATTAAAGTGACAAAGCAGAGGGCAGAAAAGGGCACTCCACACCCATGACACGTCAATACCTCCCTTCAAATTGACCGCGCCGTCTCATTTAGTACTCAAGCCACGCACTAGAGCTGATTTTCAGAAGCATGGGCCCTCGGAGACACGGGAGGCAATATCTTCCTCTGAGTCTCAGCGTCACGGCAGGAATGTACTTCAAGTGCAACCTACCATCATTTTCAGCAGCAGGGGCTGTGTCAAGAGCAGCCCCACGTGGAAGGATGGGAGCAGGGACCTGATTCATGGCAGGTCCTTGTTGTGTCTTAAATAACTCACATGAGGATGTGGTTAGTGATTTACAACAGCCATCAAGCTACTATTCTATGCCTGATGGGGTGTATGAAAAGAGCCCTCTGAGGACCCAGTGAAACCCAAATGGTCAGTCACTGCAGAAACAGATTTCTATTTAGAAACCATGAAGTAGGTACTTAACAAATGAAGTATCAGTGCCTTTGAAAACCTCCAGGATCAACGTTTTCCTTAGAAAGTTTCATTTTTATGACTCATGTGAATTGAAGAACATTTCTAGGCACGGGTTCTGGGGCTAAAAGCACTAGATTCAGCCCATTATTCACCAGCTCAGTCTGATMATCAGTCCACTATTTTTGTTATTCTAAACAAAACTAATCAATGATTGTACTGGTCAATTCAATTTAAAAAAAAAAACTGTCTAAATTGGTCCTAGACATAACCTTAAATAACCACCTTGATAAAATAATTGTTATTACCCTACTCAATTCGGTCCCCCAAATCAATAATACAAGACAGCTAGCTGGCCTTTGTAAGCATTAACTCAGCACACGAGGAAGGAAAAGACAGTATTTCTCATAGACTATACACAGCAAGACATGTTGCATTCCTTACCTTGGTCAAAGGGCTTGTTGGGATTCCAGTTTCTGAAATAATCATCCTAAAAGGAAAAAAAAATAGAAAACCAAGGTCAGGTTTCAGGAAGCTTCTCACACAACTGCATAAACACTTGTCCTTCTCCCCATTTTCCAAAACACAAAGGAAAACACAACTTGGAAGTCTTTCCCTAAATAGGCATAAATGTCCAATCAAAAATACCAGTTGACTTTTCAAATACTTATATTTTATACTGTTTGCATTAAACACTTAAAATAGCAAAAACATTCCAGTCTAAAATGGAAACAGCACTGCTCTTCTTGGTTTGACACATAAACCCAGACACCTTCTATGAGCAAGGTGCATTTGCTATCAAGTATACCACAGGTGCTGCCTGGCTGCTCTCACTTATGATTAAGCCTCTGGGTTTTTAACAGCTGATAATTCAACTGTCAACATTTCTTTTACATAGAGGCATGTATCTTGCAGTGCAGTTTCAGCTTTCCAACACTCACAAAGCCTACACAGAGGGCCATTCAAACGTTAGAATTAAGCAAAGCACACATTCAGCTTAATACCATTTGTTCTGGGCATGCAAGGATGAAAAAATGAAAGGCCAGTCAATCTAGTCTATTCATAACCACGTCTGTTTTGCACATAGTTTGCATCAATTTATTCTCCAAGGCTGGGCACTTTGTTACTTTGAAATTGTAAGAGCTAGGACACTCACTGCTTCAGAGTTATATTAATCCCTTACCCACAATTTTTGTTTTTTTTTTTTTTTTTTTTTTTGGTACTGGGGATTGAACTCAGGGGCACTCGACAACTGAGCCACATCCCCAACCTATTTTGTATTTTATTTAAAGATAGGGTCCCACTGAATTGCTTAGGGCCTTGCTAAGTTAATGAGGTTGGCTTAGAACTCGAGATCCTCCTGCCTCAGTCTCCTGAGCCGCTGGGATTATAGGTGTGCGCCACCGCACCTGGCTTCTTCCCCACTTCTAATAACCCTTCCCTTCAGATAGCCACTCACTTGGTCCTTCCCCTCCACACTTCTTGGCCCCACTGTTCCCCAGTACACCACTGTCAACAAAACCGAATAGTTTGCCAGGAGAAGAGATGTCACTCCTTCCTATCGACTTCAGACTGCCTCTAAGACCTCGGCTGCTTTCTAGTTAATATCCAGCTTATTTGCTCTGTTTTTTGGCAGATGCCTTGCATGCTGCAGATACTTTCAAAAAGATTTTCAAAATAAGGCCTCAATTTCTCTTCCGGAGAAGTTAATTTACATCAAAGTACACAATTAGTTTAAATTATTGTCCAGACTGTCTCCTGCTGCAGTTTATCTCCAACAAAATCTCCTGTGAATTTTATCAGCCTCTGTGTTGTTCAATTACCTGGCTTTATTAGATCCTCGTTGAGTTCACCTAAGCCTTTAAATAGATTTTAGGAAACTGGATTTAGAGTAAAATCAGAACATATTGCTTCTTGGCCAGTGACTCCATCTTCCAGAGCATGAATAAACATGAACGGGTTCCTCTGGATCCTGGAGATGCAGCATTAAACTATTTTGAACTCCAAGGAATTGGCCCACTTTGTTCTGGCTTTAATTTTCTGGCATAACTGACCTCCTCACCCAACTGGTTAGGGAGTCTCCAAGATCTACACCATGAAATATCACTGAGAAAGTTTAAAACAATCTCTCTTCAACATCTCCCTCCACTTTTTATTTCTTTTTATTTTGAAATTCTGCTAAAACTGGACAACCAGTATTAAATTATTTTAACTTAAGGACTGAAGGGTGGGTAAGAAATTTAGAACCTGATGTCTGGGTCTGACGCCAGTGTACTCTTACCTGACACAACCCTCCTACCAATGGATGGTGCTGTTCACCAGGGTAAGAGAAGAAAGAACCCAAAATGAACTTGTTCTTACCACTGGAGGGAAAAAAGTAACACACTGTCCATCCTTCCAACTGCAGTTTATCAATGCTCTGTCCACACGCAGGGGACAGCGCCATGTCCAATGGCAATGTGACAGCTTACGAAACCTTTTCTATTTGAGTATGCTGTACTGATACATAGAAGCCCTTGGAAGCTTGGGATGTGAGTCTGACAGGGAAGGGCTGGAGCCAAAGACCAGTCCCTCTGCTTCAATTTCACATGTCACATTCTCTTTGATGTCAAAGAAAGGTTGGAGCAAGTCTCAAGAACTGAATATTCTCTAATCATCCCAACACACTCCATAACTGGGAGGAAATATGCTTCTGGACCTTGTCACTTTCCCAGGTTAACTACGATTGTCATTTTATACATTTCTTGGGGGAAACCATGGGTTTAAATGTATACCCTCTTAAATCAGATATTTGCATTAGAATATTTAAAACCTACTGCAAATGTAATAACACTGCCTAATTACTGTCAAAATGTGAAAGAACACCTTGAGTAAAAACTCATTATGCAAAATAAGCCCTTCAAACAGTCCCCTGCCCAGCAAGGCCAAACAGGGAAGGAAACTTATTTCCCACATCTGATTGCTTCTGCTCTGCCTCAGGAAAGGAGATTGCCAAAGCAAAAACCAATGAGCCAGAAGCGGGCGAAATCTTGGGTGTCAYGGCTTTGGCTGCAGCTGATAGAAAAGCCCCATCAGGGGTCAAGATCTTGAGCACKTGTAAATATTCTACGCACCAGAGCCCACTTGGGGGATGGTCAATGACCATGGGGGAGGGGACTCTGCAGTCACTGCTACTGTCAAGGTCACAGTATAAGCCATTGAGGCACACRTGATCACCCTTCCACACACACCAGCCACACAGTGAGTTCACACAGGCTGGGGCTGCTTAGATGAATTCTGTGAATCTGGGAGAATTGCTGGCAAGGCAATATCAAACCTATGTGCAAAAACCTTAAAATAACAGAAGGCATCTCCCAGAGTTTCACCTCCTGACAATTTGCTAATCCTTGTGCCCTGCCTAAAAATGGAGTCTCCCAGGACATAAAGACAGCTGTATGTGGTCTTGAACCAGTGCTCTACCAATACCACAGCTAGTCACTTCTCCAGGGCCTATGACCCAGGAGACATAAGCCAAGCTTTTATCTTACTTTCTAACTTAATTAAAATATACAGGATATATGTGCTATTGCCGGTTCTTTTGTTTCCACCCTGGGAGACAGTGTGCTTGTCCCCACACACCTAGCCCTACATTATCTGAAAGTGTGTTCTTGTAGCCTGGACCTCAAAGTCTAGTCCAGATGTCAGCAAGGTCCAGGACTTTAAGAGCTCTTATCTCTGACCTCCCTCATAGCCCATGAAAGTTGCAGCCTATTGAAATTCAGACTTTGGTGAAAGGCGTATTGGGTAGATGAAACTTGTCAGATGAAATGTGTCTGAGTTGGCCTCTTGACTGGTAATTTTATCACCTAGTGATGAAGCTTTTTTTTTTTTTTTTTTTTTTTTTAAGAAACATGCAGAGACCACAGCAACAGTTGACTAAAACATAAACCTTACTAGAAAGATGCATATCTAAATATAGCCATTTATTAAATTGAATAACTCCCATTAATGTATTATACTGGTTTAGCGATGAAGGATGGCAGTGTTACTTCCCATCTATATTTTACGGTCCACGTTGCAGAACATAATTGTGTCAGGCCTCCACTGGACAAAGTGGAGAACAGTTTGCTCTAAATTCTAACTAATCCATAGGAGGAAAGGCCGATTCCATTCCACTAGAACATTTTATAATKGAAACTTATCCAACTCTTTTTTTAGGGACTGATAAAAAATACAGAAGAAACTATTAATTTAAACAGAGACTCAAACTTGAGCACACTGATGGATGTCCAAAATCATGAAGTATTCCAAGGCAGCAGGAAAATAATCCTAAAAAGTCAGCACAAAGATCATAGCAAGAAAGTGCTGAATCATTACAGGTCTAGGTGAGGATGAAGGAAGGAGGTAGAGTTAAGGGTAGAAGAATTAGAAGCTGGTAGTGACCCTTGCTACTATTATTTTGTTACCCTCTACAGCTGATTGACATAGATAAAACAATATTTCTCCATTCATATCACTAACTAAATATCATATTATGATAAGGATGGAGCTTACAAAACTTTTGGCTCCCAGTAGCTGGTACAAAGGAATTAACTCTGGGTTTTCAACTACTTTAGAGATATTCTGTTCTGATCAGCATCCATGAGAAAGAAAAAAAAATATGTATACATATATGTGTGTGTGTGTGTGTGTGTATATATATATATATATATATATATATATATATATATATATACTGCATATATAACCCTACAAATTACATATAATAGACATTAGTAAAGACATGTCTACTAATAGTTAATAGGAGTAGCTAGGAGTAGCGTAGATGATGTAACACACACAGAGTTGGCTTTCTGTATCCTTAGATTCAACTGACAAGGATCAAAATTATTTGAAAGAAAAATGTGTCTGTCTTGAATATGTATAGGCGTTTTTTGTTATTATTCCTTAACTAATATAGTTTAACAACTATATCTTTAGTTTTACATTTTCATAATACATTTATATTGTATTAGGTGAGTCATCTCAAGATGATTTAAAGTATATGGKGAAGATGGAGCAGGATACATGCAAATGCTACACTATTTTATATAAGGGACTTGAGAATCTGCAGATATTGGTATCCTCGGGGGTCCTGGAACCAATATCCCAAAGACATTAAGGGATGACAGTACATGCCAAGAACATCCCATTCTATAATGCATCTTCTAATGTAATCTTTAAGTGTGTCTAACACGAAATGACACCAAAATACTCCTGCTATAATATGGGTACTTAAGTCTTTTGATCAGGGATGATCATAAGCAATGGGAAAGTCTATGGTTACAGCCCATTTAGAATGGGAATGTGAATTTCCTTTCCCTGTGCCAAGCCCAAAAATGGCTGATGCAATTTAGCTCAAATATTCCCCAGGGATTTGCCTTTCAAGCGGCGCCTATCTCAGCTCCAAAGAACGTCAAAGCCAACTCAGAGCAAGAGCTGGGGGGAAGAAACAAACACAAGCCACTCTGG